CTGATAAACAAACAATTATAATATATATTTTTGAAAGCATTCTTACTTTACAGCATTTTTTCATACCTGCCTAAAACTTTTGCACAGTATTGTACTTATGACATAAGGCATGAGAAACAAACAATTATAATATATATTTTTGAAAGCATTCTTACTTTACAGCATTTTTTCATACCTGCCTAAAACTTTTGCACAGTATTGTACTTATGACATAAGGCATGAGAACAAACAAGATATAAACTAGGATTCTGGCTCAAAATGTAATAACCACATTGGTTTTAACATGGATAAATGTTAAATAAAATATATAAATAAAAGCCAAGATAAATCAGTTCCAAGTTACGGCTTATCGTAAAAATAAATGATAGCTTTGTGTAAAAACACATCAAGTGACCAAAGTTAGAAAGAAACCTAGCTTAGTGTTATATGCATAGGAAAGCAATCTTAGATACTAATGGGCAGTTTTTACTATGGCCTTGCTCTCTACTTCTCCCAGGCAGGGCTACCACACCTGAGATAAAAACAGTCTGGATGATCACTTAGAGATACAGAAAACTCTGTACTGTGTAATGATCAGGAGTTTTGCAGCCCAGATCTGGAACCGCTGCTCTCAAGCCACTGTTACATTCATACCATTCATGCAGGGATAAGCAAAATGGAGAAAAGAAAAAAGCTATAGTTAAGTTAAATAAATTAAAGGCTTGAAATAAGAAAAAGAAAAGGAACCAGTGTGAAAGCCCACTGCTGGGAAATCAATAAAAATTTAAAATGAGAGTGGGATTAAATTCCAGGAAAAAAGACATGTTCGTTTTTTGTTTTTTGTTTTTGCTGTTTATACCCTTCATATACTTTGACAAAGAACTTTTTTTCATTGGGTTGGCAATTTGCTGATCTCCTTTTAAAACATCCTTTCTCTGGCGGCTAATGTAATGCAGGCACAGAATATTTTTTTGTGCAGAAAAATATCTCTCAGTTTAAGCCCTTACTTATATTAATGAATCACTATTCCATGTTTAGTATGTGCTTGGAGGCAATGGCTTCCTGAAATTGTTATAATTCATGATAAGGAAGGGACAATCTTTACATACTTTTCTTTCCATGTTCCTGGAAAGTTAAGAGGCCAAGCTCGTAAAGTTCAGAATGGGACTGGATAATAAACAGACTGCGTATACTAAAACGAAGAACTATGAAAAAAGAATCCTTTTTTCCCCAAACAGCTTACAGAAGAAAATTGACATAATGGATTTATAATGGGGGGGGGGAGTAGAAAGTATTTCCTGGTTTTAGTATTCTGGAAATGAACATGAGAGTCAGTGCTTAATGGTTTTAGATAAAATCATTTGGAACTTTCGCTTCTTCATTCTAAGACTGTGAAGAAAAGGAAGGTTGCAATGGCTTGGTATGTCTTAGCAGTTTTGTTCACTGTCTTGGGCTAGTAATCTGTGTCTTAGTGTTTCCCAGACATAAAATAGGACCAAATTTCCACTATCTGTTATCAGTGCAATATAATACATATATCTATCTCCACTTCTGGCTTGGAAGCTCTAATCTTGGGTCCTGGAAGTTGGAAAAATGGCAGTCTTGGCTGGTAAACACCAGGCCCATTCATCACAAGAGTGTATTCATCCATGACATTCTGGGTGAGTGAGTAAACCTGGTTTGTATTACTGAGTCATCATTGGGTGAGGATGGCAATATTACCCTCTTAGAATTTCCCCCCCCCCCCCCTCTTTTTTTCTTGCTCTTGTTCTCCTTCCCACCCCACCAATTTGGGGGGTGGTGGGCTTTTTGTGTTGTAACCACATCACATACACAAA